CCCCCCACCCCCCAGCTGTTGTGCTCCCCTGTTTTTTTTCCAGCTTCTCTGGATATGCCTCCTTGGTCTCCTCTGCTGGTTTTTTCTCTTCTCCCAGACCTTGCAGTTAGGGTTAGGATCACCCAACTTGCTCTAACACATGCATTCTCCATGGGGGCACCATCTCCCCCAAGGAGGGGGAAATTGGTTTGGGGGAGGAACAAAAACTCTTAAATATTGAAGTGGTTTGTGACTCTCCAAAGGGTCAAAGTACATAAACATATATACATCACAGCTATGGAATTACAATTTCGTTCGGAGGGGATGATTATAGGGGAAGAGTCTACAAGGCTTCTTGGGGTGGATGGTAATTTTTTAAAAGGCTGAGAAAGAGGGTTTGCTGTAACACAGATTTCTCATTCCGGCGGATGGCAAGCCTCTCCTTCCAACTGCTCAGGCCAAAACCTTGGGAGTGATGTGGCCTGTTCCCTTTTTGTCACAAACCACATCCAATCCATCAGGAAATCCCGTTAGTTCTGCCTTCAAAATAGATCTGGAATCCAATCACTTCCCCCCACTCACACCCCCACCCCCATGGCAGCTACCCTGATCTGAGCTGCCTCATTGCTTGCCCGGATTATTGCAACAACCTCCTTCCTGGTCTCCCTGCCCCTACTCCCTTGACACACAGCCAGAGTGATTCTTTTACAATGTAAGTCAGCTCATGCCCTTCTTCATCCAACTCTGCAGAAGCTTCCCATCTCCCAAAGTTCTCACGATGGCCCTCACTTCGCACTCCTGCTTCCTCTCCTGACGCTCCTCTGCTATTCTTCTCTCCCTCATTCATTCTGCTCCAGCCCCACAAGCCTCTGGTGAACCCTCCAGGCACCGTTCCACCCCAGGGCCATTGCACTGGCTGTTCGTGATCCCTGGTTCACTCTTACTGAGACAGCCACAGGCCTGAATCCCTCACCTCCCTCAAGTCTTTACTCAGATGCCACCTTGTCAACAAGGCCTGCCTGACCACCCTGTCTTTTTTTTTCCATACATTTATTTACTTATTTGGCCACCTCGAGTCTTAGTTGCAGTGTTCAGGATCTTTGTTGCATCACATGGGGTTTCTTTGTTGTGGCATGTGGAGTCAGTAGTTGTGGCACATGGACTTAGTTGCTCCACAGCATGTGGGATCTTAAAATAGTTCCCCAGACAGGGATTGAACCTGTGTCCCCTGTATCGCAGGGTGGCTTCTTTACCACTGGGCCATGAGGGAAGTCCCTGATGACCCTGTCTTAAGACTGCAGTCCGTCCCCAGTATTCCAGGTCACCTTTACTTCTGCAGACCCTTCCTTTCTTCCCTAACACACCTAATACTATGACATTTACTTCCTCTGCTTACTGCTGATTGCTTGCTAGATGCCAGCCCCCCAGGGGGCTCCCTGTTTGGTCACTGTGGTCCACTCAGCAGGAGGAGAGGGCTAGCACACTGGAGGAGTGTCTAATGCCCCCTGGACACCCACTTCAGGCAGGTTTCAGACTTTTTCCCCACAGGGCTCATCATGTCTCCCACCTTTGCATTTGCCTGTTGCTTTCTCTGCAATGCGCCCTGCCCCCTGCCCCCCACACTATCCATTACTCAGAACCCTCTCAAAGAACACTTCTTCTTTTTTTTTTTTTTTCTTTTTCAAAGAACACTTCATCTCTCATTAGATCAGGAAGGGCCCAGCCTGCCAGCAGGGAGGGAGCTTTTCCCCAGGAGCAATGGGAATTCATGAAAGGGATTTGAGCTGAAGAGTGACATGGTCACATTTGTGCTGTGATGCTCATGGATGGTGGGTGGGAGGGGAGCTAGCTGGAGGCAGAGGTAGAGACCCAGAGAAGAAGCTGGTGAGAGGCAAGAGGACCCTGGCCAGGGTAGTAGATGAGCAACAGTGGGGAGAGGGGAGTCTGGGGCAAGCTGGGGAGGTAGCCAGGAAGGGGGAAAGGCTGGGTCTTGCCACCAACTCACTGTGGCAAGTGAGGAAGACAGAGGAGGTAGGAACATGGCTGAAATGTCTGATTTACAGGGTTGGATGGGATAACGAGTCAGCCAAGCCCGGGGAATGGGGTCACACTTCACAGGGGAAAGGAGGTTTCTAGAACCAGCTTCTCTCCTCCAGATCCAGCCTCCATCCCTTTTCGCTGGGGCATCTTGTACCCAACACTTCTGGCCATAGAGGAGGCAGCTCATGGGGGTTTGCAGAAGGATAGGGTTTCCCCAGAGGAATCCAGACCTTGGACCTGGGATGGCAGGGAGGCGCCCACCAGAGGGGCTTTTTCAGAACAGAAGGCTGAAGCCTATGCCTCTAAATTTACAGAACTTCCGGACTCCGGTGGAAATGTCCATACTTGCCTCACTTTCTGCCTAGCCTTGTTTGGCCAGAAAGACAAACAGGACAGGGAGTGGCCTTTGTGCCATCACGGGGACTCCGGAGCGAAGCCCAGGGTGTGCAGGACAGGATGATGGAGGGCGTCTCCTGGTCAGCCCCAGCTGTCCCCGGCAGCAGCAGCTCCTTGGAGGAAGAAACTCACTCATCTCACATCCTCACCTTGCAAATGGGGAAACTGAGGCCCAGAGAGAGGTGCGAGCTATCAGAGGGTACATCTGGTTTTCCCGGGGGGGAAACTGAGGCTTCCTGGAGAGAAGAACTTGCCCTTCTGACAGGGACAGACTAATAATGTCATCGAAATATATATATAGCTCATTTCTTCCCGAGAGTTCAGAGTGCCGCACATCCATGATCTAATTTGTCCACGAGACATCCCACTGGGATGGGTGGCAGGGCCACTCCATGCAGATGTTGTGAAAATGCTCAGTCATTGCCCTCCCTTCCCTAACCTTCCTTTTCTTCTTCAGTCTCTATTATTTCCCCTTTCTTCTCCCATCCAATCTAATCCAGCAAAGATGTAAGAGGCCTCCACTTGGTGCAAGACTGGGTATTTGAGAAGCTTCTGGATTTCCGCAGGGTAAAGTTCTGTTCTCTGTGGTCTGAGAGCACTTTGTTCATACCTGCATCTGTGTGCATGTCATCCTGTTTCTATAGATCAACAGTCCTGGAGTGGGGGCTTGGTCTTATTCAAGCTTACTTTCCTGAATACTGTCCAGGCCAAGTCCTGGCATTCGGGAGCCTGGAGACACGTTTGCCCAGGGCATTCCTCCATTAGTGTACTTGTCCCACTGTATGCCAATTACCCCAGGATGAGCTCAGAGAGGTATTGTGAATATGCAGTCTCAAGCACATAGCAGCACAACGGTCTGCTGAACGGATGAATTTTAAAAAATGAAGAAAGGAAGATAAGGATGGATAGGAAGGGGCTATCCTTGCCTTTAAAGAGCTCCCAATCCATGGCATGGATGGGGGAGGTGGGCAGAGAGATGTACAAATACATCAGAGTAGTAATGAAGAAGTACCACGGGCCTGCAGAGGAGGAGAATCACCTGAGAGAATCAGGGATGGCTCCCTGGAGGAAGTGGAATTTGAGAAGGGTCTTTAAGGGTGGAGACACCTGGCAGAAACTCAGGAACACTTTTTAGCTGAAGGTAGGGCACTGGACAAGACAAGAAGGGCAAGGTCCTCTGACTGGTGGTGGTGGCGGTGGGATGGTACTCTGGGTCAGGCCAAGTTGCTCATGCCTGACTCCACCGGCAGTGGGGAGCCATCAAAGTCCTTGGGGCCGGAGATCAGAGTGTGTTGGGACCAGTGTTAGAGTGTCTAACTGAGGGAGGCAGCTGCCAAGTTTGCAGTGAAGGTGTGAGAGGCTCCACAGAGGAAGACTCTAAAGGATCTGGAAACCCATTAGATGTGGGGGCAGAGCAGGGGGGGCTCTGGGGCACCCATCTGGAGTCTGGGAGAGTGATGAGGACTTAACAGGTATGGCGTGATCCTGGGAGGGAGGGACTGCTTCCCAGGGAGAAGATGAGTTCATTCCACCAGGGTGGAGACGCTTCATTAGGAAGGCAGATGCCAGCTTGGGAGGGAGGTCAGGGCCCTGGAGACAAGAGTTGGGAGTTGGGCTAAAGCAAAAGCTGAGGCCCTGGGAGTGGATGAGCTCATGCAAGACAGAGTGTGGGGTGAGAAAGAAATCGGACTGAGGACAGAGTCTTGGAGAACCCTCACAGTTGTGGGGGGAGAGGAGCAGAAAGACAGGGGATCCAGGAAGAAAAGGAGTTTCCAGAGAGGTGGGGGTGGTTCCCCTATCTTCTCCCTCTTTTCCAGTGCTACCCACCTTCTTCTCCCCCTCACTTCTCAAGAGGTGGGGTGGGGGCGGCCCAGAGGGACCCTGGTGCCCGCCCAGGCCCCGGAATGCCCCCAGGTGAAAGGCAGTCAAGCCAGAGATTGGAGTGCTTGGGTTCTAGAACTGCTCGGAACCGGGGGAGGTTCGGCAGGGGGGACTGCCCCCTCCCTCACCGTTCCTGGCTTTGTGACCTCAGACGAGCCACACCCCCTGTGATCTTCAGCCTTTTCTTCACCTTCCCGAGGGGATCACAACAGGACTTCCTTCATCGGGCTGCTGCGACTATTAAGAGGGATAATGTGCGTTATGCACTTGGCACTTGGGCCTGGCAAGCCCTCAGAGCTCAATAAATGGTGGCTGCTGCTATTATGATTATTACAGGGCTGGGATTGGATTCTGGCGCTCGGTCTAGCCGGGCCAAGGAGCCCAGGAGCCCCCAGAGCCTTTAGCGAGGAAGGGGGCCTGGCAACCTGAACTCGCCCAGCTCCCGGAGGGCTAGGGCCCCTCCCATGACCCTCCCAAGCGCAGAGTCGGGTTTCGTGGAACTGGGGCAGAGTCACAGCTCTCTGTGCGCGGATAACCGTTTCACCTGCTGAGAAAGGGGACCCTACCCCGACTAAAGTCTTCAACTCCAGATGGGGGGCGGGGATGGGGGGGGACTCAGTCCGCGGGGGGTCCCGCGCCTGCGGCGCCTCCTCCTCTGGGGCGGACGTGGACGCGTCCTCTCCCGTACGCGGTAATTCACCAGCTCACGCGGGCTCCGCGGCGCCCCCTCCGCGCACGCGCGTCCCCGCCTCGGCCCCCGCCCGGCCCCAGACTCTGCTGCGGGCGCTGTAGGTGGGTCCGTCCAAGTTGACGAGAAGGACAGCCGCGCTGGGGGGCTGGCGGCCTCGACCCCCATGCCTCGTCCCCCGCCCCCTGCGGATTTTGCCGCAGGGGCCCACCCGAGGCGCGCCTTCTGCGCCGCCCTGGAGGAACGGGAGCTCTGAGGGGCGAGTGCACGGGCTGTGCTGGGGGCTTGCTGAGGGGGCGAAGGTCTTGAGTCGATGGCTGCCGGCTCCTGTCCCCTCACAGACTGAGACCTGTACCCCAGACTTTTGAAAGCCTCGTTTTCCCCTTCTCAGACTAAGGGATCTTTTACTGGACCCTGGAAACAGGTTAATCCCGTGGGCCGCATGCCCGTCTATGCAGCCTCATTAGAGAGGGAAGAAGAGGCGTGTTCCACCGGAGTCTGGGGGATATTTGCTCCTATCCCATCCTCTCTGGACCAGGCGAGGGGCGGGAGGTGGGGGGCTGCCTGCGGGGAGCGGGGCTTGACTGAACTGGACCTTCTACCAGCTGGGCTCGGGGACTGGGGTCCCGCCACTGCAGGCCGAGCCGTCCAGCGCTGAGAAGCCCCATTAACTAGGCCACCGCTGGGGGTGGGCGGTGGCGGCTGGAGCTGACCGGCTTGGGTCTCTGGGGGAGGTGGCCGCAAGGGCCAGGGCTTTGAACAAACCACAGAAGGATTCTGCAATATCAAAAGAACTCTTAGTCACTAATATGTGGGGGGAGGGAGGCCGTTGGTGAAAGAGCTGCTGCCTGGTTCCCATCAGCGGAGGATCAAAAAGCATTTGGTCAAAGAACCTTTAAATACCTTGAAAGGCAGGTGGAGTCTGTTCAGTAGACTACAGGAGATACTGAAATGTTAAGTCTGAGCTGCCAGCAAACTAGCTCCAGCCACACCGAGTGGTGGGGGGAGGGGGCCACTGAGGCAGGAGGGAGAAAGGGTGGGGCTAGGCCACTAGCCCACCCCCAGCATGACCCAGGAATCTCTGGGGGGTAGGGTGAGTTGGGCAGAGAGCTGGGCTCAGACTGTCAGAGCTGGAAGCCACCTTATAAACCTCTGGCTCAGGGATGTTTATTTGGAACCTGTAGGACCCTCTCCCCCCCACTTATGGACAGAATGTTGTGTCTGTATTTGAATATGCGTTTTCCTAGGGAAGAGAGGTCCATGGAGTTCATTAGATTCCCAAAGGAGTCCAAGGCCAAGTCAAGACTAAAAATCAACATCCTTGTGGTATAGACTGGTAAACTGAGGCTCAGAAGGATCAAATCACTTACCTCGGGTCACTCAGCTTGTAATTGGCAAGCCAAGGTGCTGCCAGAGTGCATCTCACTAGTCCCCTGTGGTTCTGTCTCAGGGACCCAGAGTTGTCTGAGACTGGGGTAGGGGTGTCTCAAAACAGAGGCCAAAGGCCAAGATTCTGACTGAAGCTGTGGCAGGAAGGGACTGGCAAGGACAAAGGGCAGTAGCTTTCATCTTTTGGGGTGATGAGTGATTTGAGTGGCTGAACCAACCCTCAAGGGTGTCAAAATGACCAGGGAGAGAGATCCAGAGCCAGAATCTGGATACGGAGGAGGTTACAGGGAGAAAGGATGTGGGTGGGGTTGGGAGTGGGGAAGAGTTTTCTGCAAAGAGAGTTTCTGACCCTATGACATGACCCAAGGATGTGGAATGCGGGCCCAGGGCTCTCGGAGGTCAGCTTGGAGTAGTGTCTTTGGTACTTGGGGTCACCCCCAGGGAAGCAGGAAAGTCACCTAGCCTTGCCTTGCCATCTCCCAAGTGTATTCTCACTGACCTATGTGGTACAACTATTAGCCCTATTTTATGGATGAGAAAACTGAGACCCAGATGTGTCAAGTAACTGGCCAAGGCCAAACAGCTAGATCGTGGCAGAGGCAGGACCAGAATTTGAGTCTTGGATTCTTCCTGGGATGCTGCAGGCCAGACCCTGCCTCTTTAGTATGAGGTATCCAAAGGAGGACCCAGCAGAAACTGACAAGTGTGGGCCCTGGGTAGACAAGCTTGGGGTCTCCACTGTGATGAGGTGGGCAGAGAGAGGGCTGCAGCTACCTTCTAGAAGTTTGCCGTTGCGTTGTTTGTGGGGAGATGGCATCTGTTAATGTGATACCTTCTCCAGACTTCTATGTTCTGTAGATGAGGAAAGGGAAGCCTGGGGAGGGTGTATCTGCAGGGATGGGGGACAAGGTGGCAGAACAAGTCACTCCGGGCCTGGCACATTGGCAGGCTCTGCCATTGCCCTGCACAGCTGCCTCTCAGAGCCCGCCCCTCCTGAATCGGGAGTGGTGCTCAGCCTGAGCCTCTTGCTACATGGATGGTGGTGATGAGAGAGGTGTGTTTGTTCTGTCACGTGAGCTGCACAAACGGCTTCCTCAGCATTTTATTAATAATTCAGCCTATGGCCAGAAGGGTGGGGTGGGGGGGACGGGAGCTGTGGGGAGACAGCAGCATTGGAGACCAGGCCAGGTGGAGACCAGGGGAACCCAGGAGCCCTGCCTCCAGCCGTGACCTAGCAACGGAGCCAGGCGGCCTCAGGGGCCCTGTTTAGGAGAGTGCAGGCCTGGCATCTGCTCCTGCGGGGACAGAACGTCCCTCCCTGCTCCCTGTCCCTCCCGAAGCTGACCCAGGACACCTGGGCTCTGATGACAGCACCGTATCAGAAACAGGCCTGAGGGGTCCGCAGCAAGCACTGCACCAGTCCTTGGAGAACCTAGTGCTGCCAGCATTTCCTGCCACGTCATGGAACCCAGGACACAGGGGCCAGGAGCATCAGAGAATGCAAGAGAGATGGGAAGGGGAGAGGCAAAATTCCCAGACCCTCACCACCTGCGAGGGACCAGGCAGAACAGGGGTGATTCACACCCTCTGATCTCCTTTCTCAGAGAAACTGCTCGCTCCCCCAGGCTTCATTTCTTGCTTGTGCCCAGTCCTCAGGGAGTGCTCAGAAGACAGGCACTTACAGTTGGCTTAACTTTCAGTGATGCTCCAGCAGGAGAGGGTAGCCTTCACAAGCAGGAGAATGGTTCAAGGTTAGACATCTGGAAGAACTTCCCTGACAGGCAAAGCATGGGAAAGGGGAGTATGTGGTATCCCTGTTTAGGATAAACAAATGATAATGGCATTCAGAATCAATCAAGACTAAGTGCTAGGCTCTCAGTATCATTTTATGTGCTTTAATTGTACCATCTCATTTAATCTTTATAATAGTCGAAGGAAGTGGGCATTATTCTCTCCATTGTACAGATGAGGAATCTGAGGCCCAGAGGTGTCAAGTAGTCTGCCCAAGGTCACACAGCCATGAGTGGCAGAGCCACATAAATCTATATTCTTTCCTCTTTCCGATGACTCTGCATCCCCTAGACAGAGTGAGTGAGGCCCAGTGAAAGAGTGTCCTTAGAGCTTTTCCTGTGTCAAGCAGGAAATAAAGACCCACCTGAGGTTTCCAGTGCCCCCGAGCCTTAGATTCCACAATGATATCTCATGGGGTTTATCCAGTATGTCCGAGGGACTGTCAGCTCTGACATTCTGGAACAATGGTTGTCTAATGCCTGCTAACAGGGAATGAGATTGAAGATAAGCTACAAGCTCTTGGGTGGGAGCAAGCACTGGATCTTCTCACAAATCTCACAGTGGTTGGCACAAGGCTCGGAGTCAGGACCAAGAGTTCTACTCCTGGTTCTCTCACCAGCTCCCTGGGCTTTAGCTCTGGGCCTCTAGCTTCCCCTCGAAGCCGCATTTCCACCATCTGTCACCTGAGGGGTGGCCTGGGTCATCTCTCAGAGGTCCTTTCCACCAACTTTGAAACACTCCATGATTCTAGATGTTTATAAAGACCTAGTGAGTCACAGTGGGATGAATTCTGCAGTACCCTTTCTGGATTCTCCGGTTGATGGATTCGGGAGGTTCCTGAACCGGGAGTTTTTTTGCGCAGTATCCATTCATGACAGGGGTGGGGGCAAAGGGGTGGAAAGGGTGGGTGTGAGGGGGGTGCACTGTTTGCTCTTCATCAGGGCACTGGGCTTCCCTAGTCGCTCAGACAGTAAAGAGTCTGCCTGCAAGGCAGGAGACCTGGGTTCAATCCCTGGGTCAGGAAGGTCCCCGGGAGAAGAGAATGGCTACCCACTCTAGTATTCTTGCCTGGAGAATTTCATGCACAGAGGAGCCTGGGGGGCTACAGTCCCTGGGGTTGCGAAGAGTCGGACCTGACTGAGCGACTAACACAGGGCAGTGAGAGAGGCCGCTGGGGGTGGGGGTGGGAATAAGCCAAGCCTAGGGACCCTGGAATCCCAGCCTGTTGGCTTGGTTTTCTGGGTTTGTGCGAAAAAGGGGTGTGTGGAGAGTACCTGAATTTTTGGCCGTGGATGTGACTGGCTGCAGAGTGTGTGAAAAACAATGGCCATTGACCAGGGGCGGAGGAGCTGAGATTTCTGGCCACTGAGGAATTATGGGCTAGAACCTACAGATGCCTTTTTTTTTCCCCTTCCATTTTTAATTAGAACATTCAATCCAAGGAAATCTGTTCTCTACCGGAACAATCTTCATGGAGGTTTGCTTGGGGGAATTTCCTTGTCTGTTTCTCAACCAGAAAAACTGTGGGTGGAGGTGAATGTATGTGTGTGTGTTATAGGCTCCATGTGAGTTCACGGAGATGGTGTGTGTGTGAGTGAGTGTGCTGGGGGAGACTTGAGATGGAGGCTTGTCCCTGGGGTGCCGGCTGCCTGCTGCTCTGTGGGAAGGTGGAGGTGTGGCTGGGTGTGAGCCATGCAGTATAAAGTCCATTTCTCGAGGTGACAGTAGGAATCCTTGACTCTGGAAAGCCTGGTTTCCCTGCTGACTGCATTCTCAGTGGAGGGGAGGGGTCGATGCTGCAGCAGTCCCCAGGATAACGCCCTCCTGCTTATCCCTTCAGTTCAGGGTAGGGGCAGGCCCTGTATTGTTTGACGCTTTGGTGTCTGTACCTCCTTGTGTAGGAGTGTATTTGTGTGCCTGCGTGTGTGTGTGTGTGTGTATGTGTATGTGTTGGGAGCAGGGAGTGCTGTGGAGGAGGTGGTGTCATTGATTAGATGTGTAGGTAGTTTTCTGGACCTGAATCCAGCAATGGTTCGGTTCTAGGCTTTGACAAGCCTTGGGAGATGGCCCCTTCTCCTCCCTGCCCCAGAATCAAACAGTTCCAATTCTGTGGAGAGAGGAGAATTAGGGTTCGCCTGACTTGGACTGTGTTGAGCTGATAGAGGCAGAGAAGGCCAAGTGAGCCCCAGGGTTGGGAGGGGAAGGAGGCCCTTCCTTCTTACTCACTGAAGGGCTGGGGCCAAGGAAAGCAAGAGGGCAGTGGAGTGGTGAGAGGGAAGCAGGGACAGAGGTTGAGATGTCTGTTTTCTTCTACTGCGTGGCTGGGTTAAGTGGGGAGGGTCACTAGGCCTAGTCCCTCGCTGAGGGTCGAGATGTTAGATCTTTCGGTTCCAGCTGTGCGCAAGCTGTGGACATGGCCAGGGTGGTGGACCCAGCTCAGCATTGGCAAAAATCCACTCCTGGTTTTTGCACACACCAGCTTCCCTTCCCGGGACCGTCGCTCTGTGGAGCCCCGAGCTGACGCCCTTCAGCCGCCACCGAGTGGAAAACGCGGAGCGGATCTGCTCGCCTTTTGGAACGGAGTCAGAGGGCACCTCGGAGGAGGTGGCCGGCCTCTCCGCCCTGCTGGGTTCGAAGCCGCTGCCATCCGGGGCGCACCGGCCGGCTGGGGCGCCCAGTGCGGTGGGACCCGCAGGCCGGAAGAGCCCCGCCGGCGGGCTCCGTGCCTCCGCGCGGGGGCTGCAGGCGGGCGGGGCGCGGGGCGCGGCAGTGCCCTCGGGGCGGCTCCGGGCGGCGGCGGGCGCGGGCTGCAGTACGGCTCGCGGCCGGCAGCGGGCACTGGCGGACGCCAGGGGGTGGCGGTGGCCGCGGCGCTCGGCGGCGGGCGGGCGGCGCCGGCGGTGTCCCGGGCGCGCTCACACACGCGCTCACACACACACATACACACCGCCTCGTACACACACACGCTCCGGCGCGCACACGCGGCGCGCAGGCCGGAGGGAGGAGGCTCGGCGCGGCTCGGCGGCGGCGGCGGCGGCGGCAGCGTGCTCGGCGGGCGGGCGGGAGGGCTGGCGGGCGGCCCCCGCTCCCCGGCTCCGCGGCTCGGTGCAGCCCGCACGGCCCCCGCCCTCGGACCCGCCCCCGGGGGTCGCCCGGCCCCATGCCCTGCAGCGGCGGCGGAGCAACGCGCGGCCGCGGGCGGCTCTGAAGAGCCCGGAGGGAGCCGGCGACGAGGGGACCATGTACCGGGACCCGGAGGCGGCCAGCCCAGGTAAGCGCGGCCCCGCGCGGTCTGGGGCGCCCCGCACCGGCGGGCAGGACGGCGGCAGCGCCGGGCGCCGTCTCGGAGCCCCAGCCGGGAGCTGCTGTCCAACCGAGCCGCACGGACTCCCCTCACCAAGGGTCACCCCAGCCCCGGGGGCGCGGGCTGGAGCGGCAGCAGCTCGGACCCCGGCCCCCCGCAGGCAGTCCGGGCACTGCCAAGCTTGATGCCCGGCGCCGGCTTCGCAGTGTCCCCACAAGGACCTCCCCCCCCACCCCCCGCAGCCCAAGGACAACGTGTGTGTGGCGGAGAGGGGAGCTAACGCCCCCGCAGTGCCCTCAGAGGCACCCCTGGGTCCCCTAGCACTGGTACCTACCAGTGCTAGGGGACCCCGGGACTGGGATCCCGGGCAGCTTTCGGCCAAGGTTGTGGGCACCGGGAAGCGTAGTGACATCGGCCGTGACAACTGTGAACCGAGAGGGTGCCAGGGGGCAGGTGGAAATCTGGTGCAGCCGCAGGGGAGAGGGGCTTCTGGAGGGCGGTGAGCCCCGGGAACGATGAAACGGGAGGCAGGGGTACCTGAAGGGAAAGAGAGCAGAGATTGGTGAGAATAGGGGAATGTTCTCCTGGCCTTGGGGAGGGGGGAAGCAAAGAACCCCAAACTCACTCCTGTCCTGTCGGGGGTGGGAGGGGGAGGGGCCATGCTCCTTTGCATTTCTGCGGAGCCCAAGCCGGGGAGTGGCCTGAAAGCCCACGTCTGCTAGGCGTCCTGGAAGCAGGAATCTTTCCACCTTTCTCGGGAAATTGCTCTGCCATTTCCTCCTTGGCTCCTGATGACGCCTCCTCACACAGTGCCCACCTGTAGGCAGGTCCCCTGCCACTCCTGCCCAGGCTCAGTCTCAACTCCCACCTGGGGTGCCCCACCCCAGACCCAGCACCCCCAGTCTGCCAGTCCTAGCAGCAGGGTCTCTGCTTCTGGGTTTCTCTCTGATGCTGAAAGCACAACACCCAAGCCGGAGGACTTGCTCCCAGACCAAGAGCCTCTAGGCTTACTGATGCTAACCTCCGGGGTCTGGGGGCCCTGGGTGGCGGGAGGGACAGCTCTGAGGCCCTCTGCAGAAGGGGCCTAGAGCCCCAAGGCTTTTGAGGGCACTCCTGTGGTGCCAGCTTTACCTGCTCATGCCCCAGCCCCACATTTGCTCTTTCCCTCTAGGGGCAGGCTCAGTCTGTACCCGCGTCTGTCCTCACCCTCCTCAAGTCATAGCAGCTTGAGCCCACCCAGGAGGACCTCCTGGGTGCCAGGCATTGTACTCATTCTGCACTTGCGTATATGCGTGAAAGAGGACTCAGTCTCCCACTCTGCAGCCTCATGGCCACCTGTGAATGTCCTCTAGGTGACGACTGAAGGGACATTGCCTTTGGAGACCCCTTCCTTCATCTCTCGGGGCCCAGATCCCCCACCCTGGCATCTTCCCCCAAGTGGGCTGCCAGCTTTCAACACTGGGACCAAGGACAGAGGCGTTCTCTTGCTTGGATCGTCCTCTCAGAAGCCAATAGCTCAGTGCAGAGACCAGCTCTGGGGTGTGAAAATGGAAGGGGGATACAGTGAGAACACTCCCCTCCCCCTGCCAGGCTAGCAGCCTCCTGTTAGGCCAGTGGCCTGGGCCCTGCCCTTGTCCTTCTCCTTCCCTCCTCTTTCCTCCCACGCCTGGGCACCATGACATCACCACAACCCCAAGCACCTCTGCCCTCTCCACCGAGGCCAACTTGATGTGCTTGGCATCTTCTGGGCAGAGGGCCTGGAACCCAGTGCTGCCCCCTGGCCTGCTGGCAGCCCCTAGACTTTTCCTTCTCCCCCTTGAATGAGCCGCCCTGTCTTGGCCAGAGACCTGTCTTGCCCACTCCAGTTGCAGGACTCACCAGTCCTCTGGCAGGGACAGTTCTGGTGGAAACAGCCTGGCCTTACTTACGACCAGGTTTACTTCTGTCTGAGGTGGGCAGTAGGCTGGATGGGGTCAGAAATAGGTGGCAGAGGGCAGAATTTGCTTTTGATCCTAGATCTCTGGGGATCTCTGAGGAGCCAGGGACCTGTCTGGACTCTGCGCCCCCTGGCATCCCTGCCCACCTCCTCTCATCCCTACAGCTCCAGGCCAGGCTTTCCCCCTTCCCCAGCTCACCCCAGGCTCCCCGGACTCTGCTCCCCCAGGCAGGGAGTGTGTCCCTCAAGGCTGGCACTGGGTGGGAATAAGATATGCCAATGAATTCCTGTGAGATTCAGGCCCATCCCTCTGGTCCCCCAAAGGCCAGTGGACCTTTTACATCCTCATCACTTCATCCCACTGCCTGGAACACCTGCGGCCCAATCCTTTCAAAGAAAGATCTTCGTCTCCTGTCCTCTCCTGCTCCCCCATGCCGTAGGCTGGTTCCAGAAGGTCCCCGTGGTACTCTCTCCTGTAAACCATGCCCTCTGCTGCAGGTCCCCACAGGGCTCATCCTACTGCTAAGACCCTTACCCCAACAGGGGACAGGCAAGCTCTATGTGGGCCCTTGGCCCCCAGGCCCTTCTCTTCCAGATCTGAATTCTCTTCCTTGGCCGAAGCAACGGACTGTGGGGCAAAGCCCGAGCCTAGTGAAGAAGGAAGACCAGCCCCCCACCCCACACCTCCGTCACTCCTGCTCCAAAGTCTGCCCCGCCTCCCCCCTGAAAGCTATACTCCTATCCTCCACCCTCCCGTAGACAGGCAGCCCTCTCCCGGCCCACAGACTCCATCTTCTGTTCATCCCGAAGCTGGACTGGCCTGGCCGCTCTGTGTCCCTGTCCCCTGGCAGGGCAGGGCCTCGGCCGGCCCACAGGGGTCAGCGTTGCAGTGGGCAGGCAGGACGGCAGCAGAGAGGGAGGCAGGGAGAGATGACCTTGCGGTGAGCGAGTGAACAAGGCCAGAGAAGGAAAGCCTGGGCTGGTGCGGTCGCTCTGGGAGAGAGTTCAGGTCCTGAGGGCCACCAGCCCTGGCCCCAGCCGTCTCTGAACTTGTCCTTGGGGATAGTAGTACTTAAAGCCTCCTCCATCTGTCCACCTGCTGGCAGACTCTGCTCCCCCCACCACAGCAGCTCTGCCGGGTACGTCATTCCTAAGGAGTGTGGGGGACACCCCACGGGCCAGGGGGCCTTGGCATAGCAGGTCTTCTCTCTCAACCCCAAGACCAACCCCTCCACCCGTGGGCACAAGTGAGGGGCAGAGGCTGCTGGCTGGTGTGTGGGACAAGAATCAGGGCCTGGCCTAAAGGGCAGATCGGGGCTGTACACTGTGAGGGCCATCAAGTTTAGGGACAGGGGCTGGGATGTGGGACGGCCCAGGGAGGCCTGTCCATCTGACCACTTCACGGACAAACTCTCCCCTCCCACCTCCCACCCACCCCACCTGCACTGGCCCAGACCTCTCAGGCCTGCCTCCCAGGCTTGAGTCAGAGTCTCGAGCTGAAGATCACAGGACCTCCCGATGGGCCATGGCCGGTCTGAAAGGCAGGGCTGGACATGTGACTTCTGTGAGGCTTGGGTCAAGGTAGCCAGCGCCCCCAGGCTGTAGCATTTCCAGAAGGACAGGAACCCCCCCACAACCTTGGCCTTGGGTCACTCTGTTCAGTGACATTGTGGGGACAGCTTGACTAACAGGCTGTGGGGCTCAGAACCAGGGGATGGTGGAGGGGAAGAGAACCTCACAGTCCCTCCTGGTTCAGGAAGAAGGGCTCGAGCAGGCTGGACCGGTGTGGGAACCCACAGGCCAGCAGGTGACAGGTGAGGGACAGCTGGAAGGCAGAAGAACAGGTGGGCGTCAGGTGGACAAAGAGAGGTCCTGGGCAGCTAGGGCCCGGCTGACCCCAAACTCAGGCCCAAGGGACAGTTAGGGCAGCGTGGGGTGACAATTGGTGACAAGAGGACTGTCCCCTTCTCGCCGGCTCCGGCCTGCCCAAAGGACAGGCAGAGGAGGAGTGGGTAGTCCCCCCTTCCCCCTCCTCCTCCCCCTCCCACCCCCCCCACCCCCATTCTCTCAGGGACTTTAAATTTTTATTGAATCCACTGGACCATTTTCAATAGCTGCTTCCCCCAGGGGAGTGAGGCCCAGAACAGCAGATAGAGGCGTGGTGAGAGGGGCCTCGAGGAGGGTGTCGCAGCTGGGGGTAGGGGCGGGAGGCCCAGTCCTAAGCAGAGGACTCTTGGCTGGAAGAGGAGTCGGCCGCACAGGCTCCCCAAAGGCGCCCAGGTCTCTCGGGTGGGCCCGAGCGGCCCTGCATGGAGCCAGCACCCTGTCCCCTGGGCATGCCCAGCAGGTGGCACATGCCACCCGTCAGGTCAGCGCTGTCTGTTGGGGCGGTCACTGGTCTGGCCTGATGCCGGAGCCAGCCTGTGCCAGCCCCAGCCCGGGTGCCCACCCGCCTTGCCAGGGCACCCCAGCCAGTGTTACCAGGTGGATGTGCCAGTTCCACGGATACGGACGTCCCTGACCTTCCGGGCAGCGGGGGCAGCCTTGCTGGGCCCAGTCCAGCTCGTGTCTAGAGGGCAGGGCTTCGTCTCACCTAGTAGAATTCCCCAAGGGTTGGAACAGAGTTGGCAGACAAAATGGGACCTGTGGAAGGGGCTGGATGGCTCCCAGAGCCTGTGCCTGGAACTCTGGACCCAGCTGGTTGGAAGGTGGGCTGGCGCGTCGGGCCTGCCCCTGGAGGCTCTGCAGCATCTGCCTGGAGGGGTCTCTTGGCAGAAGTGTATCGCCTGCGGGGCTGAGCTGGGAGCTGACTGGAACGGTGAGCTGGGAGGTTTGGGGAACTGATGATCGGAGTGACTGCGGGTGTGGGGCCCCAGCACCCAGGAAAGGGAGGGCAGGGCCGGTGGGCAGAAGTCCCGGGCTGTGTGTGTACCTGGGTGCGTGCGGGTAGCAGCTGGACAGCCCTAATAGCTCATCCAAGCGCCGTGCCTGCTGTAAACAGGAGCTAATGAGTGGATTTGTAGCGAGGTGT